TTATATCAACTTATGATATCTTTCAGAAGTATTTAGTATGCTACTATGCAATATTGTTGCTCAAATAATATTGCTTCCGTAGGGAACCTTTTGATAAATTCATTTACTGATTAAATGAATTATCTAGACAATTTATATACATATTTTATTTTAAATGCATGACAAAATAAATGAATCAGTTTATATATATGAATTAAAAAACTCTTTCTTTTATTATTTATGAAATATTGATACAGGATAAAATGCTTTGAAACTGACAACATGAATGGTTTATAGGGTACACTAACATTTGTCTTCAACCATATATGATTTTAATATATATCTATTATATTGACATGTTCAAATAAGTTAATCTATACAAGGATTGCATGGGTTTAATGGTGTTTAAATAAAAAAATTTGTTTTTCCACTGCCTACTATTTGATCAAAACACCAACAGTGGCATCAAAGCCTCTTGTATATGATTAATTTATTTAAAATCTGATTGGAATCATTTGGTTTGATGATTGAATAATTTTGTTTGGATTTGGTGAGTAAAATCTAAATATTTTAATGAACTATTTTGTTGATGTGTTGTGAATTGAAATTGCATCTGATCTGTTGGAGAATAATTAAAATTAAATAAAAAATTAATTTAAATTCGGGATCCTTGGTGCACTGTCGTGGACGGCAGTGCGCTGCTGCTAGGGGGAGTCGCACGCACCAGCGCGCAGCAGCATAGAGGGTGTGACCGTGTATTTACACACACGGTGCTAGAGGGTGTGATCGTGTGTCCCTACACTTGGCCTTGACCAGCATTGGGTTTTTCAGCCAAATCTGAAACAGGTAGCCTGCATTGTCTTCTCGAAAACACGCTCCTGCTTGCGTTGTAGCGTGAATTTTGGAGCGTGGTTTTTTCCTACGCGTTGCTGCACGTCTAAGGATCATTTTGGACTGCTTGCCCAGGTTTTTGGACCTGTGCAGCTTGGGTTAACGAGCACATCACAAGAATACGATTTTCTGCATTTTAAAATGTGGGAACTGACCATACGCTCGTGAAATGCGAATTTCAGAGGCAATTGTGGGTCATTTGACTCATGAATTATGCCATTGGATTGCTGACATGTTGGAGCATGTACAGCAAGCCTAAAACACTACTGCCCAGTTGCGTCGGTGCGCATAAAACTGCTTTATCAAGCAGCCTGCGTAATGGTGTAATAGGTTGATTTTTAGGCTGTCTTGGCGTTGTTGTGCGATGATATTAACCCAGAAAATTTCTGTAGGATGTTGCTGCATATTGGAAATATTCTGGAGGCGCAATTGAGTGAGGCCTGATAACAAGGGACTAAACTGCAAAGTTTTAAACTTCTTGGGTTTAAAAAGTATATGCCAAGGGGTAATCATAATTTTACCAACCTGATCAGAATTCAATTTTGACTTGTTTTACGCATATTGTTGCATGTGAATTTGCATGGTGTTTGGTGCATAAGCCTATGAACCTAGTCTAAGATTTATTTGAATTTTGTAATTTAAAATAGAGCCTGGAAGTCTTGCCTTTCTCCACATTCTCTATTGTAACTTCTCTCTCTCATCTGACTCCCTCGAATGTAACTTAAGATTTCTTTTCATTTATCTAAAATTAGATAAGAATTTTATTTTGAAAGTTGTGTAATGTTTGAGAAGAAGAAGCGTTGGAATGAAGAAGGCGAATTACTTGAAGACTCATTTATTTTCTTTTACCTAGGTTGACTTACCGATTCCTCTAGGCTCGATAAAATTGGTTTTAGCTAAAGTTATGCATCAACACGTTTTCTTTATGCTTAGTATGCATGCTAAGGGTGTGTGTTATGACTATAACATACACCCTTAGCATGCGTACTAAGCATAAAGAAGGGTACACTTCATTATTGGTGAGACTAATATATAATGAAACCCTCAAAAAATTATATTAAGTCATTAATTAAAATCCTTCCATCACCCTGAGCTTAATCAAATCACTGTTCATTGGAACCTTGTTCGCCAAAACGAATGATACACTTTTACCAATGGGAGGTTAAACTTCATTGAAGTTTTCTTTAATGGTGATGGGTCGACTTAAATCATGCGTTTTGCTTGTTCACCAAAGTAAAGGTTGATAAACATATCAGAGACATAGTAGAGAAGTATACTTGTCAAGTGTACGTGGTGACATGTAGTGTCCACTCTACTAATACTAAGAATTACACTGGAGGACAATGGTTGGTGCCATTGAATTGTGTAATTGGTTTGTTGGCTTAGTTTGCATTTGAAGTCATTGGTTGGTGCTATCGATTGATATAAATTAAGTTTGTTAACCTACCTAATCAACCTACTTTGGCTTGTTCGCTAAAGCGAATGTTTGAAATGGACTAGATGGGATCTTGGTCCAGTAGGAATCCCAATGGGCTTTTCGGGTTAATAGTGAGGGCTATTAACTTGAAGAAAAATAGTGGGAATGTTTGTTTAATTAAAGACCTAGCTCATTAAACAAATTATTATAACATGAAATTAATTCTGTCATATTTGCACTCGTAGAGTCATATCAAAATTGACAAGTACAATTTCATGTTGCGATCTTTAAATGAAAAATGAACACATGCTAGATGATAGTAATTTTATAGACTGGTATAGAAATCTTTGGATTTTACTTGAGTCTGAAAATAAATACCATCGATCGGACTCTATCTCAAGAGCCTGATGATAACATCACCCAAAAATAATTGTTAAGGTGCAAGATGCATGGATGAGGGTGCCGAAGTTGGCCCTCATTGATAAGTGCTTGAAAATGAACTTATACTCAGTGGTTTATAGGTATCGTTTGTGGGAAATGAGGGTTAATTTCATGAATTAACTTAATTATTTCATAAATGCGCTTTTTAGGATCACGGGTATTTTTGTTGTGTTTTCAGGGCATAAAAGCTTTAAAATAATATTCGGAAAAAAGACGATGTTGGCAAGAGAATTTTTTATTACTAGCAACACACAGTTTGAGAATCGGAGTTGAAATAAGGAAGATATGGTGTATTTAGCATGGAACACGAAATCTGGAAAATGCTCCAGTTTTGAGTATGCTTGGGTATTGCAATGATAACGTGAGCTGTAGACCTCCAATTTGGATGATTCGTGGACCATTTGGAAGCTGAATTGAAGGGCTACAATTATTATAGTTATGCCTTCTTCATATTCTGACTTTCTTGTTTTCAAACTGGAAGATCTTTCGGCACCATGACATTCAGATTCTGGTTTGGAAAAGGCGTGTCCAGGAGGCGGAAATTTCGTGAAGCTTCCATAAATTCGTCAGAACGAATTGGGAGCCATGCCACATATATTTTTGAAGCTCTAGAAGTTTAGGTTATGTAAAATTTTACGGTTTGTTATTCTGAGTTTTATAGAAGAAGATATTCCAGTTTTAGTACTGGAGGGTCAGTGCATGAATCCTAATTCTACAGCATTCTGTCTAGCCTAATCCGAATTTGATTCTCCTTTTTTGTATAGGACTTTCCCATTAATTTTTCCACAACCCTAGCACTATAAAAGGATGTCTTTAGATATTTTTAGGATAGAGAGGGAATGGAGAGAAAAAAAATACACAATAATGTAGAGAGGAAGAGAGATTGAAAGAAGCTTGGAGAAAAAGAATTGGAGGAGATCATCATCAACTCCATTAATCCATCCAAGTTTTACTAAGTTTTTCTTCTCTTTTTTTATTATTTGTTATAAAAAATATGATGATGTTTTTATTTTTATCCATTGATAACTAATTCTTTTGTGATTGAGGCAAAACCCTGGACATGTTTAGTGATTAATAAAATCTGCATCTTTTTATCTTTTGATCCCTCTTGATTATGTGATTTATTTTCTGAGAATAGGGTTTATATAGATTTTCTTAATTGTTTAAGTGCACAATTAAATAGTTAGGATTAATTTATTATTGCCAATTTAAGTTGTTTAGTACGGAATCGCTTTATTAATCTAAATAACTAGTGGTAAAGTGTATGCTTGCATGCATTGGGGGTAATCACTCAAGATAACTAAACCGACCAAATGAGTTTAGCCTTGATTTAATAGGTCTCTCGCATGTTAATGCTTTTATTACTTTGAATCTAGAGATCGTATCCTAGGTTATTTAATAAATAGTGAATTGGGTGAGGACCATGTCAAATCCAACAACTCAGTAAAGAGAGATGAAACTTATTAACGTTTACTATTTTCTAAGCTGATGTAATCAAGGGGTAAAAAGTTAAAGAGTGCTTTTATTGATTTGCATTACATGTTTAGTAGTGGCGACTGATGCTTCAATCCACTTTGTATCATACTCTCTCACTTATATAATTATGTTACTTGTTTTTAGTTAGTTGTTTAAATAGTTGTTTTTTATTTTCCATTTAATCATAGAAACCCCATGTTTAAGTAGGTAATTAGTTAATTAGAAAAGTCTTTTATAGGAAAAACCCTTACTTGCTTTGTACTGCTACTTGACATTGCTATAGATGTTAAGTGAGGTAAAATTAGGTTTTGCTTTCACATGCATCAATTTTTGGCATCGTGTCATCGGGGATTTTTCTTTAATTAACTTTTATTATTATTATTTATTTTTTTTCTGGTTTTAATCAATTTTTTTTTTTTATCATGAGGTGTTTGCTAATCGTACTCTTAAAAAGATGGCTACAATGTCTTTCGATGAAGAAGCTTTGTGTATTTGGTACAGTGATACGGGTAGAGCTTTTGAGCTCAAATCTGGAATGATTCATCTTTAACCTACTTTTCGAGGATTAGTAGGAGAGGATCCAAGCAAGCATCTTAAGGAGTTCCATGTGGTGTGTTCAAGCATGAAACCAAGTGGCTTTACTGAAGAGCAAGTTAAGCTTAGGGCATTGCCATTCTCTTTAGTGGATAGCGCTAAGGAGTGGTTTTACTATCTTCCATCCAAAACCATTAATAGTTGGAATGAAATGAAGAGACTCTTTTTGGAGAAATATTTTCCAGCATCTAGAGCTGCCCTCATTAGGAAGCAAATTTGTGGGATTCGGCAATAAAATGGGGAGACCTTATATGAGTATTGGGAGAGATTCAAGAAACTCTATGCAAGTTGCCCTCACCATCAAATAAGTGAGCAACTTCTACTCCAATACTTTTATGAAGGAATAATTCCTATAGCGAGAAACATGATTGACGCAACAAGTGGTGGAGCTTTGGTTAATAAAACTCTTGAGCATGCAAGAAATTTAATTGCAACTATGGCTACGAATTCTCAACAATTTGGTGTCTGCTCTGATCCACCACCAAGGGAGGTAAATGAAGTGGGAATTTCCTATAATATTGAACAACAATTGAGTACCTTGACTGCACTTGTGCAACAATTGGCAGTAGGACGAGTTGAACCATGTGAGATATACTTTACAGTTGGACATCTTATAGACATGTGCCCTACTCTTCAAGATTTTGTTGTGGGAGGATTTCAAGGACAACAAAGGCAAAGGTATGACCCCCTCTTAAACACCTACAATTCAGGATGGAGGGATTACCCCTACCTTAGCTATTTGGGAAACTACCAAGCTACTAGGCCTAAGAATCTACCAGGTTTTCCTTATCCAATAATATTACAACCTTATCAAGTAAGGCCACAAAATGCTCCCCCACCTCAAGGCAAGTCTCTAGAAGAATTAGTAAATTCTTTAGCCTCTAACACTCTCAAGTTCCAACAAGCAACGAAGACATCGATCAAGAACCTTGAGAAACAAGTTAGCCAATTGGCTACTACCATTGGAAGACTGGAGGCACAAGGATCTATTAAACTTCCGTCCCAACCTGTGGTTAATCCTAAGGAGAATGTTAGTGCCATATCATTCTTAAGTGGGACACAATTCAAAGAAGCTCACAAGAAATTGATCAATACCAAAGAGACTAAGGATGAGTTGATTCAAGATGAAGCGAAAAAGTCCAATAATGAGGGAGATAGGGCGATTGACTTCAAAGAAGCAAAACAATCACCTAAGCAAACGTTTGAGCTCAAGAGTAAAGATTTGTTGGATGTTGCAATACAGAATGGTTCGGTAATTGAGGAACAAAAAAAGTCTACAGGAGACATTGACATGGGAAGGGAAATATAAGAGATTGTCGCATTATGTGATTTTCTTCTGAAAATAAAGACAAGGTATAATCTTTCCTATATTTCTCTTCCCATATTTAATGCGAAGCTTCTACCTTCCATTGTGCATGCCCCTACTTTAGAGCTTAGACCTCCTCCAGAACACTTTAAATACAAGAGAGAATATGGTTGAGAAAGTGATGATATCGGACTAAGGACATTAAACCAAGTGCTATATGGGAGGCAACCCACTGATTTTTATTTTTTATTTTTTTTCTTTTCCCTTTTCATTTTTTTAAAGATGTTGTTTAGTTTGTGTTTTGTTACTCTAATTCATATATTTAACTAGTGATGTGTGTTGCCAATGAGGTACACCATGAGTTTCTTTGTTTTGATAGTATTTGATATAGTTGATGGAACAAAACAAGAGTGGTGATCGAACTTTCATGCGTCTTCTCACTAAGATATTAAAAAGTGGGATAACTTTTCTTTTCCTTCTCTTTTTTCTTTTGCTACATTGGGGACAATCCATATATTAAAAGAGGGAAAGGGGGGGGGGGGGGGGGGGTGGTCATTGAATTGAACCTAGTTATTTATTTATTTTTGTTAAAGTTATGAATTTGGGTAATTTTTTTTGTTTTTTTTTTTGTTTTTGCAGGTTTTTAGGATTAATTATTTAGTTTTTTGGATTAATTTGTATGTCAATGATATGATTATAATTGTGATAACATATAATGTTTAGAAGACATTAAATGTTGCTTAGGTTTAAAGGTAATTTCAAATTATTGGTTTCGTTTAGTTTGAGACTCTCATGCTATGTGGTATGATTTGGTTTGTTAGTCTTAAGGCTTGGTGATGTTTATTATGTGTGAATTTCATAGGCATTTTTGCGATCTCAACAAATTTTAGAACTCACTTGATAACTACTTAAGGTGAAATCCTAGAATGAACATTACTTAGGATATTATTTAGGCTATCTTTGGATTGTTTGAGCCTTTCAAGTCAACTCTTTATTTAATTATTGCTAGTTACCCCTTTGAGCCATTATTAAATACATTTTTTTAGCCTTGATTTTCTTTCATGAAACCTACATTACCCACCATTATTTTGAGCCAAAAACAAATTCCTACCCTTCAATATTTAGGAGACTTAGTCTAAGCACAAGTTTGGTGAGAGTAATTAGAGGAGTAAGGGTGGAAGTTTGCGAAAATTGTCAATTTATTCCAAATGTGTTCAAAAGAATAGGTTGGGGGTTGTGGACTGCTTTTTAATCAAGGTGTGGGATAGCATTTTTAGCTTTCTTTTCTTTCTTCTGAATGAAAAAAAATAAAAATAAAGAAAGAACATTGCCATTTTTGTTAAAAATTATGGCAATAGAAAAAAAAGGAAGAATAAAAAAAAGCAAAAAAAGAGGAGAAGAAAAAAAAAGGCAAAGAAAAAGGAAAATATTGAGAAATATTGCAAAGTATGAATGATGCAATAAATTTGTTTATCTTGTGAGAAATTTTGATGAAGGGTGAGAAGTTGGGTGTCAAGGAGAATGATGTGATGAGTGAATGAAAGCGTTTAAAAGAAATAGGATTGAGTCTCTTATTTTTGCTTATCCTTTCTGTTCTTTCATAACCTCATAACGTAGCCTAACGTTACAAGCTTAATAAAGACCTATTGATCCAAGGTAGTGTGTCATTCTACATTAGTGGAGAGTAGATTGAAAAGTGAGCCTTTGGAATTTGATTCTATAAATTATATTCTATTTTTCAAAGTTTGTGAAGTTTGTGCATGCAATCATCTGGGTTATGGGATTATTAGGTTTGTGGTTTGTTGGATCTGTGAGAGCGGATAACAAAAATGGAATTGATGTCTGAATTATCTTTTGGCTTGGGTGATATTTAATTATTCTTGATGTTAAGTGTTGTATGCAATTTTTTTTTTTATACGAATGTGTATCCGGAAACTAATGTTTTGTTTTGTTTTGTTTTGTTTTTTTTGAGTCTAGGTTAGGTTTAGTAGAATGTTTGTGGGTATCATCACTGGAAACCCTCACAAGACTATAACTTGTCCAACTAGGGCCACCTAGGGGTTTAAAGGGTTATTGCATATGCTAAATATAACCGTGACAATCTACGAAAGTGATTTAGGTTAATTTAGGATTAGATTTTAATTTGCTTTTAGGCTAGAAGACATCTTTAGATCACTTATCTTGCTAGAGACTAGCAAGAATCTGGTTGGGGGTTGTGATAAGTACTTGAAAATGCACTTATACTCAGTGATTTATAGGTATCGTTTGTGGGAAATTAGGGTTAATTTGCATGAATTAACTTAATTGTTTCATAAATGCGCTTTTTGGGATCATGAGTATTTTTGTTATGTTTTTAGGACATAAAAACTTAAAAATAATATTCAGATGAAAGACGACGTTGGCAAGAGAATTTTTTATTACTAGAAACACACGGTTCGAGAATCAGAGTTGAAATGAGGAAGATGTAGCGTATTTAACATGGAACACGAAATCTGGAAAATGCTCCACTTTTGAATATGCTTGGATATTGCAACGATAATGTGAGCTGTAGACCTCCGATTTGGTTGATTCTTGGACCATTGCTTATGACTTCTTCATATTATGACTTTTTCATGTTCAAATTGGAAGATCTTTTGGCGCCATGGCATTCAGATTCTGGTTTGGAAAAAGCTTGTCTAGGAGGCATAAATTCGTGAAGCTTCCACAAATTCGTAATTGTGGAGCCATACCATATATATTTGTGAAGCTCTGGAAGTCTAGTTTATGTATAATTTTATGGTTTTTTATTCTAAGTTTTCTAGAAGAAGATATTCCAGTTTTAGTACTAGAGGGTCAATGCAGGAATCCTAATTCTACATGGATTCTATCTAGCCTAATCCGAATTTGATTCTCCTTTTTTGTATAGGACTATCCCACTAATTTTTCCACAACTTTAGCACTATAAAAGAACGTCTTTAGGTATTTTTAGATAGAGAGAGAATGGAGAGAAAAAAAAATACACAATAATGTAGAGAGGAAGAGAGATTGAAAGAAGCTTGGAGAAGAAGAATTGGAGGAGATCATCATTAACTCCATTAATCCATCCAAGTTTTACTAAGTTTTTGTTCTCCTTTTTTATTATTTGTTATCAATAATATGATGATGTTTTTGTTTTTATTCATTGATAACTAATTCTTTTGTGATTGAGGGTAATTTCAATACCCTAGACATGTCTTGTGATTAATAAAATTTGAATCTTTTTATCTTTTGATCCCTCTTGATTATGTGATTTTATTCTTTGAGAATAGGGTTTATATAGATTGTCTTAATTGTTTAAGTGCACAATTAAATAGTTAGGATTAATTTATTATTGCCAATTTAGGTTGTTTAGTACATAATCACTTTATTAATCTAAATAACTAGTGGTAAAATGTATGCTTGCATGCATTGGGGGTAATCACTCAAGATAACTAAATTGGCCATATGAGTTTAGCCTTGATTCAGTAGGTCTCTCGCATCTTAATGCTTTTATTACTTTGAATCCAGAGATCGTATCCTAGGTTATTTAATAAATAGGGAATTGGGTGACGACCGTGTCTAATCCAACAACTCAGTAAAGAGAGATGAAACTTATTAACGTTTGATATTTTCTGAGCTGATGTAATCAAAAGGGTAGAAAGTTAAAGAGTGCTTTTATTGATTTGCATTACATGTTTAGTGGTGGCAAATGATCCTTCAATTCAATTTATCTCATACTTTCTCACTTATATAATTATGTTACTTGTTTTTAGTTAGTTGTTTAAATAGTTGTTTATAATTTTCTGTTTAATCATAGAAACCCAACCCCCTGTTTAATCATAGAAACCCCCTGTTTAAGTAGGTAATTAGTTAATTAGAAAAGTCTTATGTGGGAAAGACCCTTACTTGCTCTATACTGCGACAAGACATTGCAATAGATTTTAAATGAGGTAAAATTAGGTGTTGCTTTTGTATGCATCACTCATGTACTTAGGATAATTGG